GTAAAATGGATGTGTACTAAGGTATTTTCAAGTTTTCATTTAAATTGGCTATCCTTCAAAGGAAAAAAAATCTCCTTTAAATCTTTGAAACATTAACACTGATTTCTGTGATTCAGAGCAGTACAAATTGTGGCTTGTCAGGAAATGTCAAAAAGGATTAGAATAAATCCCTGTGCTTCTGCTAAGGGTTAAAAGGTAGTATATTGATTGTTTTCAGAACACAAATAGGGCCTGGTGGTTTGGTCTTGGCAAAATATGGAAAATATAAATTGATTAAACTTATTTTAATGGGTATTTACCTGCAATTTGTCTCAAATCCAGATGTAATCTAGATTCATTATCTTGCCCCTTCTGTCCAGGAGCCATGAGCTCTGAGCACAGGTCTGGCAGGCTATGAGAAAAGGAATTAGAAAAAGAGCCTTGGAGCCAGAAAATCAGCCTTATGTGACCAGGAATCAGTGCAGTGTTGATTCAAGAAGAAAAAAAAAAAAAAACCAAAACCCAGCATTATTTTCAAGTCAGTTCCAGCTCATAGTGACCCTGTTGCTAAGCCCAACAAGGAGATGGGAGGAGGGGCAAGAACTCCCAAAGCCAAAGCCCGTGGGTTCACCCCAGAATCGCCGAGCAAATAATCGCTCTTCTTGTGGCTGCTTTACCAACCTCAGTGGACGGAGCGTCCACTCTGGCAGGAGCCCTTCTCGTTTGCCAGTGTGTTGTGCCAGCCTCACTGTTTTCCTTAGCAGGTTAGATCCCATGAATCCAGTGAATGGCCCAGGCCTAGGTGGGGCCCTCTGCAGCTGCCATATCCTTCCAAAATCCCTTTGCCTAAATAGGAACCATCATTTCAGACAGAAATTAATGGGGGGAGGGAATATAAGCATCCTCCAGTCATATACAAATACCCACCTCCCATATCAGTAACACTCTCCTTTCCTCCCAGATTCTGGGGATAGAAAATCAGAATGTAGGGAAAGAAACTTGATGGAGGAGCCCAAGATGTAAGATACATTTGTTTTGGGTTTTGTTTTTTTCTTTTGACTCATAAGGCCTCCACCCCCAACTATAAGGGGCGGGGCGGGGGGAGACAAATGCCTTGATTTGGTTGACAAGATTGAAAAGAATCGTCTTCTCCTCCGCACCCCACCCCCCATATAGCATGCTTTTTATTTTAAACCATTACTCAGGGAACTCTCAAGGTCTAAAAGTTTATATAACCTACAGCCTTGCCATTTTAAAGTTCACCATGCTATGCCGAGGATCTTGCCGTGTATTTGCTTGGAAGACAGATCTAGGCTACAGCAGCATCTGAACATTTACATGTCAAACGTGTAAAAGCTTTAGAAGCCTCAAAGGGAAAATCTGTGACACACCTGGCCAGCCTGGAACCTGATCTCACCTTCTTCCTCACTGTTTCACATCACACTGACATGGTGCACAGGGGGAGGCTCAGAAAGAAAGGGAAAAACCCAACTCCTTGAGAATTTAGAAGGCAGAGTAAACTTGTTCAAGTCATAATCGACAAAAGCAGGCGAAGTCACACCTCGATTCATGTATTTCCGAGGAGCCATCCTTGGGCTTCTTCATTGGCCAGGAGGATGCTTTTACAATGTCAATTTGGTTAGAGGCATTTAATCATATTACCTAAAAATTTTGTACTCAGAAGTTGCACACAAATGCTAGTTGACTTTCCTTCAAAGCCATTCAACCTGAAAGATTTCCAAGCATGTCAACAATGTCACATTTAGCTATTTTTGCTGTGTAGGGCTTTCAGCCAACTGGCTCACACTCATTGCCTAGAGAAACAGAGGAAGAGAAATTTCTAGCCATTCAACAGGCAAATAGGTAGACTCCTGAAATTACGTGTATTAAGTTCTGAAGAAACTCTTCTAGTTCTCTTTATTTACTTGTACAGTGTATTCATCCCAACACATCCTGTAATGTTAGAGATCTATTGGTTCAACTGTAAAGTAGATCACCATTTCTACATTTTGGAATCCACGTTAGAAGATTCAGCTCAGTTTTTTTGTTACTTCCTCCTTCCACCACAATTTCTGTTTTGTCTCAACTTTCCTCAGAGGCAGAACTTAAAATGTTTAGTGTACTGTTTACCTGTGTATTTGTCTTACTTGTGTTACACAGTTGTAAGGAAACAAGTGTGGCAAGTACTTTGTTCATTTTAGAATACCTTGGTTTAAGTGTTGTTGTTGTTATGTGTCATTGCGGCATCAACTACAACTGCTAGTGACCCTGTGGACAGTAGATTGAAGCCCTTTCCTGTCCTGTGCCATTCTTACCATCTCGGCCATGCTCCAGCCCTTTGTCACAGTCACTGTGTCCATCCCTCTTGCTGAGGGTCTTTCTCTCTTTGTCTAAACCTCCACCTTTCCTAGCAAGATGTCTTTTTCCCAAGGTCTGGCCCCTCCTGACAACATGCCCAAAGTATGTGAGATGACGTTTCACCACCCTTGTCTCTAAGGAGCACCCTGGTTGCACTTCCTTTGAATGTGTTGACTCCAGTAGATTTCCTGAACAGCCTAAGCACCATCTGACATTGTCGTTGAGAAGTCCTAACCAAAAACCTTTGAACTGTGGTGTTACAGAAGAGCACTGAATTTCCCATGGACTGTCAAAAGAACAAACAGACGTGTCCCTGGACAAGGTGCGGCCGGAGTACTCCTTGGAGGCAAGGATGGCAAACTTCATCTCACATACTTTGGTCTATTCCTCCAAGAAAAGCTATTCCTCAGAGAAAGACATTATGCTTGGAAAGGTCAGGTGATGGTTAAGGAAAGGAAGACCGTCACCAGGTGGACAGATACAGTGACTGCAGCAGTGGGCTCAAGTGTGTCAGAAATTGTGAGGTGGGACAGGGTTTAGATCTGTTCTTCATATGGTCACTATGGGTCACACTCAGCTTGATAGCACCTAACAATAATAACAACCAAAAGTATACACATAAGTATTTTTTTACGGTGAATTTTCTTTAAGCTTCAGAGAGCCCTCAGATCATGTGTGTGTCCTAGTCATCTTCCACGTACTCATTAGCAGTAACTGTTGGTATTGTTTTTGTTGTTGTTATGATGTGCTGTCAAGTCACTTGTGACTCATAGCAACATATAGTACAAAATAACATATACACAGAGTAAAACATATGAGTCATATAGTAACTCATAGTTCAAAAGCTCCTAACCCTGTTGTATCTTGAGCCAACCTCTTTGTCTCTGGCATACCTACCTCCATTACCCCAGTCACTGAATCAATCCATCTCATCCAGGGTCTTCCCCTCCTCTACTGTCCCTCCACCCTTCCAAGCACGATGCCCCTCTCCAAGAACTCTCCATGATGGACCCTCCTTGCAACATGCTCAAAGTACAGCAGACGGAACTTCAGAATCCTTGCCTCCACAGAGCAGCCTATGTTCACCCTTTCTTAAACATTTAAACTCAAACATGAAACTTAACAATTCCTTCCTGCTTCTTTATATGGATATTGAAAGTTAATACTACAAGGACATTTGTCACCTCAGATTTTAGAGTTGTGCCTGCTTTTAAGGACCTCAGACGTTTTACACTTTCATTTCTGTTTAAAATTCTTTTTTAAAACAAAGCTAGGTTGTAAAGAAAGGAAATAAACATTTAATTATGTAATATGTGGCAGACTGGGTGTTAAAAGCACAGATATCATTGTGAAAATATTACAGTGTTTTCTAAAGCTTGACCTTCTGACATCCTTGTTGGTATTATATCAACATAATGATGTTTTACATTCTAGGTCATTTATATTTAAATATATAACTACAGGTGAATGTAAATCAAGAAAGAACTTTTTAATAAATTCTTTTAAATGTTGTTAAATATTTTGATCCTTTGCATACAGCGTGAAGATAAAAATAAGCCTTTCATCAGGAAAGAAACTACTTAGAGCATATGTTTATAGACCATAATATTTTGTAAAAAAACCCAGAAATGATTCTACCCTTTTTTCACTTTTTTCCTCCCTTCTTTATGTAATTGAAGAGTTTTGCATGGGTTGCCTCCACTTCCCCTCTAGAAGGCTTTGGCTGGTCATCAGTTGAGGGGCATAGCCTTCTCTCAGCCTGCCCGTACCCACTTCGGGCCTCAAATAACAGATAGCAAGCTTATCAAGTAGGAACACTAATAGTTAAAGGAAGTTAAAAGACATTCTTTTTAAAACATAAAAATTTCTTTAGAAATCTGCTTATTTCTCCCTAATAATAGCAACTAAATATGATTGGTTTCTGGGCCTCCCTTACTTAACTCAATCTGTACTTGCAGTATAATAACAGGAGTAGGACAGTATTCAGAGCTATCCTGTGCTTTGAAAGCATGTGAAGATCAGACATAGAAATTAACTTAGAAGACATTTAACAGATGTTATAGCTGCCGCCTCAGCACATACGAAAAACACTGACCCTTTGATTGATATTTTTGTCATTATGTCAATATTTCTGTGAATATTGTACATTTCTAGAGAAATTGCAGGCTTGAAATGGAGTTATCAGGTCATCTTAATGGACAAAAGAAAGCAAATGTTTGTGATAATCTGTAATTGTTAAAAAGCTACATTAGATTGAAAAATAGCATTTTTTTGGAGCCCTAGCAAAAACAAAGCAAATCTCACAAAACAAGCCCACCATTATTTATGTGATCATTCTCAATTATGCTTCTATTGTTCATTTACATGTTTTCTACTTAAATGAGGAAAACCCTAATACATTTCAGTTTGGACATTGAAAATGTTTCACTAAAATTCTTGGTCCATTTTCTGCAATGGCTATAATTTTTAAAATGTGGTAGGAATAAGATATGATTATATTGGGCTTCATGCTAAAGAATTGTTTTAGCAGGAATTTTATATGCAAGACTAAATGCTGATCAACAGAGCATAATACTGTATTCTGAAGTATGCTAGCGAAAGCAAAATTAATTTTTTCTTTTTTTTTCTTTCCCCCCTCCTTCTCCTGAACTCTTCTGCCATAGCGACTGCATTTGCCTCCAGACTTGTCAGACACAGTGAGCCGCTCAAGCAAACAGGATCTGGCAGAATCTGCCAAACTGCTGGGCCCAGGCTGTGGCATGATGGCCGGAGGCAAGAAGCACCTGGACTTCTAGCGATTTCTCCTTAGTCGTTGCATGCAGAATTATATGACACTCTAATTATGATTGCTAATAGCTTATGTAAATATTTTTCTTAACGATTTGACCCTACAATCCTTCAAAAACACTCACGATGGCAAAATAGGGCCACAGATCTTCAGTTTTCTTTTTTTAACCTACTTTTTTTATACAGAAATAGTACAAAAGAAATACTATCATTTTAAAATTTTGTTTATGCTCTTTGGAGAAAATGTATCATTTTGTTTTTAAATTAAAGCAAATAAAATATCAGAAATTCAAGATGCCTTCCAGTCCTCATTAGTGTACCTGTTCTAAGACACTCAGGATCACACCAAAGCACAGATAGTATATAAAAAATACTGAAATTCAAAATCTTATGTGCAAAGCATATTTCTCTTTATTTCTAAAAAAGTCTCATGCTACCAAAATGCTACAGTTTTAAATATATTAAAAATGTGGTTACTGCTATATGAAGGCTATAAAAAATGAATTTACATTTATACATCCTAAAATTAATAGAGACAAAATAATGCTTTGTGATTAAAGCTCTGTGAAAGATAGCCTTAGCCTTAGTGATTAATAAATATAAAGAACTTAAGTGACAGAAAGCATAGAGCAAGGAATTGATGGTCTTCTATTTAGAAATCTTAAACAATTGAAGTCAGCATATGAAATTATGTCAACAGACATACTTCAGGATTGAAATTCAAACTGACAGCCACATAATGTTAGGACTTGGGGTGGGGGCAAGTATCGAAGTTTGATGAGAGATTTCTATAGAATACAGGTCTGAGACAAAGTAGATAAAAATGAAACTTATGTTCCCACTGCATCAGGTAAACCCTTTGATGCACAGTGGCTTGCTATGCAAATTCCTAGCCATGTAAATAGATCTATTTGAAGCGATAGCACCTTGAGCCAGTTTTCATAGAAAACACCAGGTTTATGACTCATAGCTCCATATTCTTAAAGCTTTTGACAGATAATAAAACAAAAGTGAAACTTTAAAGTAACTTGCATTGTTAGGTAGAATTTCCATTTTAAAAAAGCTGTTTAACATCCCTTAAAAGAAACTAAGTTTCCAAAATACACTTGCAAATAGGTTAGAATATTTTGTTGCCATTAAAATCTAGCATTTTTAGCAGTTTGCTTTTAATATACCACAAATTACACTTTATTTGTTCTTGACAACATTGTAGAAAACAAAGACTAGGTTTTTAAAACTGTCTAACCAGTATGATGAATGTCAGTCACTTAAAAAAAAAATGCACTGTAGCATAAACACATACTGTATACAGCTTTTATTCAGAATTAGAATAATTGAATCAATGACAGTGATTTGCCAGGATGTCAAATCTCTCCATCATATCCTGTCACTACCAGTTTATTTTTTGTGATCAAAATCAAAAAGACAACTATTTTGTCACCCTTTATTTCATTAGTACTAAAAATCAGGTTTCTCCTATTTTTTTTAGAATGTCTGGTTTATTTTTTCCCCACTTCTTTTAATTCTAAAGACACAAATTCTTCCCCATTTTCTTTTCAAAATAAAGTTTCAGGATTGATCTGTCAGTTGAAATTAAAAGGCTTTTATATCAAGCTAAGGTGCTTTTAAAATTTAAAGCCATTTCAAAAAAAATCAGTTTAGTCCACAGATAATAAAGTTATGCAGAGATTCCAAAAAGCTTTGCTGTATCTTTTTAAAGCATTATAGACAATTTGAATAAATTTAAATGAATGAATGTTTTAGTCATGTTATTATTTTAATAATGCTAACCTTTTTCTTAGCATGTTGTGATTGATTTTATACAAACACGCAATGGTACAATTACATAGCATTTGACTCTGAAAAGGAAATGTGAGGTCATCAAATATGTAAATTGCTTGTCAAAATACTTAATAGGTCATTGATTTACTACCCTGACTACCATGTCTATAAAATTAACAGCCAATTACTAGTTAATATATGCTTTGCAATACATAAATAATATAAAAATTGAATGTGCATATTTGAACCTTTATTTTAAATGTAAAAGAAACTTTTAAAACTTGTTAATTAAAAGTGCATTTTGAATATTAATAGTACCTACGCTTTCCAATCATGAGATAAAAGTGCTTTGTTTTTCTGATTAACCAAGCAAATTATGTAAAAATAAGTTCACTGGAGAGTGATGTATTCTTTTTATTTTCTTCAGATAAAAACCCACTATAAAAATGTGTTTTCCTTCCTTCTTGAAACATTATTCATTACCATTATACTAATAAACCACAAAAATATTGGTCTTCAATAATTTGATCAGTTATGAAATATACCCTCTAACAACAAATTCTGTTTTTCCAAGTATCTGCTTGACTCCAAGATATAAATACTTAAGAACAGTGGTAAGCATATCTGAATGTCCTCATCCCTTCTTAAGTGTTTCTAGTACCTGAAACACTGAACAAGTGTTTAAGCTAAACAAGACCAACACTAAGTTACACTTGGAACTCTAAAATTGAGCTGTTCAGTCATTCAGAACTGAGGCAAAAAGACAGATGAGGTTTATTCTTGAAAAAGAGAAAAGGGAAGAATATGTGTTTGGCTTTGGTGAGCCCAACTTATTATATGGAGAAGAAAAACAATTTAAAAAAAAAAATCTTGTTAACATTAAGAGCTGAGCAGAAAGAAATGAGCAGGAAAAAAGATACTGTCCTTGAGATGATAAACATTCACCAAGCATAGCTGAATCATAACACTATAAAAGTAAAATGTAAGAAATCAAATTATGATAAAACTAGAAAGAAAAGAATCTGTGAGCTGTATCACGATGCCAATTGCTTGCCATTTAAAAGTCAAAAGGCACAGGTTTGGAGGGCAGCAAAATATTTAGGGAAATCATGATAGTAAAAACTTTTTACTTCAATTAATTTGAATATTTATTACATGAACATTCAGTTCTAATTCCATTCACCTAGTGTCCCTAAGTAGATCAAACATGGAGCAAAATTATAGGTCTGTGATTCTACTGAGGATTTCAAAAATTACCCCATCCTGAAAGATGGCATCCAAACATTCCTGCAGAATGTCCATTGATAAACATGTAACTACACCTATGAGTAGATAAATAACCCCCAATAAATTACTCCAACAATGAGTAAAAGGCCAACTCTTGGGCACTCCTAGCACAGTGCCTGCCATGCTGTGCCCAGGAGAGTACCTAGGGCTCTGCTCAGAAGGACAGCTCATGTCCCTAGGGTAAAGGCAGAAGGCAAAGCAGCTGTTCCCACCCTGCTGAACCAGAGGGCCACTGCAGCTGAGCTGCGGCTCCTTCTGACTCAGCGAGGCTGTGCCCTGGCAGCCCTGACCAGCAGAGGACACACATACGTGCCCAAGTGCACACATGCAGATCCTCGGCTCTCACAGCCCCTGCCTGTCTCCCAGAGCACCATACTCCGTTCTCCAAGTTCTAGGCATTCCACACTACAGGGCCACGGGCAGGGACTGGCTGACTGACCCTGACCCAAAGCACGGCCATTTGGAAACTGTCCTTTCTTGCAGAGGAGAAGAGAGCCAGGCAGCAGCTGCACACATGCTCACCCTGAGCCCTTCTCCGACAGTTCCCTCAGGACATGTCCCACAGGAATACAGGCTACAAAATGTCAGGAGGGAGAGAGAACTGCACGGGCAGACTGTCCCAGCAATGCCTGTGTGTTCCCTCCACTAGAGAAGTGGCCAGTGCAGGCACACTACAAAACTGCATGCACACATAGCAAAGCTGCCATCAGCTGAGGAAGACATGGAAATGTACAACAACTGCTGGAATAAAACCAGTAGATTTTGAACCATAAGATAGTTTTTTATATACTTCTGATCATTTGCCTTTAGAGATTAAAAATAATTGGACAGGAGGCAGGGGTGGGGAGGAGCAGAGCACTATGCAATGAAATGTCTTTGTCCCCAGAGATATCTGCAAGTGCAAATATTTAAAACTAGGCTGCCAGAAACCCAAGCCCTTTGACTGAAGTTTGCAGAAGATAACTCATCTAAGTTGACTTCTAGGTTGCATGGAACAGACAGAAATAGAAGTCTCAGACAGGCCCCTTTTTCACCCAACAAAGGCTTTTTTTCCCCTCCATCCTTTGCTTGAGCTCAAGCACTCTGGCCCTGTGTGCCGCCACTTTAAACGTGATCAGATCTGTGCTTCATTGCAAATAACAACTGACCAACAATCAGGCCAGCTTCATAGATTTGGGGATGTTTGGCTAAAGCTGCCAATGACTGAAGGCCTTTAGCTCCCACCGGCCAGTCACAGTCTGCTTTGTTGTTGTCTGTTGATGTGTCTGTGCTCATTATTCCTTGACATGCAACATCCTCCCCTCCACCCTCCAACCATCCACAACCACACAGAAAGCAAGATTCAAATGGGAACAGCTGTAGTGGTTCAATGGGAAATGATGCCTCTTGTGCAAGGGGGAGGGAGACAGAACAGGGAGAGGGCCTATTTGAGAAAGGCAACAGCTTTCAGTGAGTCTTCTATAAGAAATCTACTTTTGAATATACTTCAGTGAAATCACTGTTGAAAAAGGCTGACAATGGAAATCTGCCCAGATTGAAAATGCCAGCCCTAATTCAAAAGACAATTCTATTTAATAGCTTGTTGCATTTAAAAAATGTTTTTCTTGCCCTTGAGCTTTTGACTAACTGTGGGAAATATTACTATTTTGTGTATATGTTGTGGGTATAAATGGGTACAGGTCTACATGCAGTGTTAAGTGGAATTCTCACACATTTCTGATTTATACAATAAGAATGATTTCTTTAAGGGTCTTTGGAATTTAAAAAAAAAAGAATCTTTGGGATTTAAAATAAAGCATGTATGGAAAGTAACATTTGGTTTAGAATGTTAATCTAACATGGAAACAAAATTTTCAACACCACACTATAAGGTTAAAAAGAAAATAGTATAATAAAGGAAATACAAAGGCTTTGGCATGGTTTTTACAATCAACAATGATTAATTTTGATATGTAGTTGTGAACAACTTCAAAACACTTATGTTTAAAACTCTTGCAAGCACTTTTAATTGATTAAGAATGAATTCTAGATGCACAAAAATGATTGGACTGTGAACAGTAACACAACTATATCTAAGAACAATTAACTTTTTCCTGGCCAAAAAGAAACGTATGATTGCATGGAAATGTGTATAAAACAGCTATAGAGTATTCTTGTCAAATATAAATGAAATTAACTTTATTATAGAAATCATTCTGAGGGTTTCTAGGGAAGACAAATACTTACATTTTGACATGAAACAAATTGGATTATATCGAAGACACAATCTACCTTGTAGCTATCAACTTTTTTCTTCCTTGAATTTATATCTTACCCTTTTTGCACATAAACTTCATCTGTTAACAACCTTTGGAAAACCAACAGATATTTCTTACATAAATCTAGTGCATGTTGTTCCAGGTTTAATTATATGCAAAGGATTGATACAAACTTAGAACCTCAGTCCATAAACTATGAACAGATGGGTAGAAGTATTCGATATATCTTGATAAAACTCTCAAATTCGTGACAGAACTTGTTGATCATGGTTTCATATTTTTTTTCTGTTTAAAACAACTTCATGACCAACCCAGATCTAACATCCATCCAGTCTATGTTGTTCTTTTTTTTCTTTTTTCATTATAACATACAAATGCCCATTTACAAATAATACACCAAAATGAATAAAAGTTTGGATACCAAAATGAAGATTTGTTCCAACTGATAACACGCCTTCTGTGTACAAAGGTCCTTGTTTCAAGTCCATTCCCCAGCGGTACAATACAGGACACAGTTGCAGAACTGAAGTGCTTCTAACAGCCCATTTTTCTTTCCTTCCTGAACGCCCAACTGTTGTGTCCACATAGTCACTGACTGATTTAATGCAATGTTTCTTTTCTTTCTTTCCTTTTTTTATTTTTTTACTGTAATCGTGGCCAATATTGAGACATATCAGGTTCACTTCCAGGAACTTGAACTGGAACTGACACACCAGGGGAAATGAGGCCTAGAAGCGGATGAAAGAAATAGCCATGTAGATATTCCCTTTGAGACACAGGCAGGGAGTATAAGTTTTATAAGTTTTTCATGATTTTTTCCTAATGCTTTCTGTATTTTAAATGTGGGGTTTTTTTAACCTTTCAAGATTTTTTAACATTTTCTCAGAAACTAAACAATGTTATTTACCCAAATCTCCCACCCAAAGAAAAAAGAAATCCTCATTTGTTTCTATGTTTTAGAAATTAACAATAAAACTATCTCTGAAAACCAAAGGTGGTTCTTCTTCAGGCCACAAAGGAATGAATGAGGTGGGTGAGCAGTGTTCCAACCAGCACTCATCACACAGCCACAAGAACCCTCACTGAGACACTTCGGCTGAAAACGTCAACTGGAAATTTTGTACTTACAAGCCTTTTTTCATATACAACTTCCAGGACCAAATTCTCCCCGCCCCCAATATGGTGTCAAGTTACTGACTAGCTTGACAGAATTCTCCCTTTTCAACCAGTTTTTCCCAGAGAAGTGAGCAACAGAAAACTATGCACATTCTCACACAAGGCCAAGAGAGTCTTTTCTAGCTCAAGTTGACTTAAGGGAGATGACCTGACAAAAGCGGTTGTGGAGGCCTCCCTGCACAGACTCCGCACAGCAGCGGCTCACCTGTTGAAGTAGTGCCGGAGGTGCCCATTGGCTGACTGTTCATGTGTGTCTGCATATGCGGGGGGGTGTAGGTGTCATAACTCCTTCCATTCACCGATGGACTGGTGGGCAGCATGCAGGAGTATGAGGAGGTCTGACTGGGGACTGGGGGCTACAAGGAAGAAGACAAATGTAGTTAATGAGAAACACGTCACACAAGTCACATTCCCAGGTTCCTTTCTTGCCAGGAACTCTGCCAACAAGACAGACCATTAAAGGTGCTTTCATGTAATATGGTGGAATTCCACTCCATAATTTCAATCTTGGACTTCCAATCTAGTCCTTCCATTGGCCACAACTATACAAAGTTATCTACATGTCAAACTTCTAAACTAAACTCATTACCATCAAGTCAGAATGGACTGATGGTTGACTCCAGCAGATTTCCAAAGCTGTAAATTGCATGGAAGGAGACTGTCCAGATTTCTCAAAAAAATGTCACTGGTGAATTTAAACCACCAGGGAAGAACACCCTTTGATTTAACAGCACGACTTCCTACTGACTATGCCAAAGCAAATGCAGACACTTGGACAGTAGGAGAGTTGGCAAACCCTTTTATTTTAAATAAATGAACTGGATTTTCATCCCTTGTCATCTCGGATCTCTGTGGGTATCATTAGGGAAATTGTGACATGCAGGCAGGCCTCCATTAAAATACACCCATCTCCATGCCTTGAAATTCAGACAGCTATGAGGAGCTCTTAGTAAAGTTTCATTTCGGGACCTTGGGACATAGTTTCTCATGTCTGGACTCACAGGATTAAAAACTCTTTGAAGAGGCATATTTATAATGGGCAGGGTAAATGATTCAAGAAGTTCAGTAAATCTGATGCAGCGCTATCCTGAGAATTAGCTGTGGCTTTCTTCCTGACCTAAAATTCCAGATCACATTTTTGGAGGTTTGTTTTTTGTTTTTATTTTTTTTTAAAAAAAAAAAAGTCAGTGTTGCTCTCTTTGTGTTGAGAATAGTAGCATTTAAGAGATAAGCATTTCTCCTAACTAAATAAGAAATATCCCCATCTGGAACAAAACTTCTCGTGAACTCTCAGGAGCTATACCAAGCCAGCAAAGTTAAGACATATTAACAGGCTAATGCCAGAAGCAAGGAGATGATAGGACTATTCTACTCTGCAAACTAAAGAAATGTTCATCCTTCCGAACTCTTAACTTCTCGGAGAGCAAAACATTTCAGAGAAGGTTCAGAAGAAGAAACCCTACATTGGAAAAAAGCTTGAAGACTTTAGACAACAGGGTGACTAGATGTACAGAAAGACTAGCCCACCCATTCCAAAACACTAAGTGTGTTTTATTTTAGTTTTAACATTAGGTCTATTGACTGTTTTCTTGTCTTTAAGCTCTTCCAATTTATGTTTTTAAATATATTTAAAGTGTATCATTTTTAAATCTGTGTGAAGCAAACTGACCCCATATGCTCATCTAGATTAAAAAAAAATTCTAAAGTAATATTAGCATCTATTTCATTGTTTTTGTCTAACGGTCTCCCCAAATACAAATGTTCTTCATAGAAACACTGATGTTACTATAGATTATTAAACTGAACACGATATTTCATGACCTTATTAAAGTCAAACAGTATCTTCCAACATCAGGTTCAAAGAAGCAAACAGGCCTTGAGGGCCCTGCCAGAAATTCAGCTTGCATTTGTGTCTAGTTTTCACAATCACTTCCTCTAGGCAATCTGACTTCTGGAAAATTCCAAGACAGTTATAACAAGGGCTTTTAATCCCTTAATTCACATCACTTGTACTATGGCAAATAATATCCAGACACAGTAAAAATAAACCTGCGAATAATTTATCTAGAAGTTGCTAGTGTGGAGTTGTTCCTATATTAGTGTGAAAACTGTGATGCATTCATTTAGTTGTTATTTTTTATTAGAAATCCAGAAAAAGATGTTCAGTGAAGAATAACCAATCTGTGTAGCCCCACAATAGTCTCCAGTAGATGATGATGCTGGCTAATCTTACACTATCTGCCATCTCTGATTTTTGTTATCTTTAACTGTTGCAGAAAAAATTGGAAATACCTGGGAAAGCTACTGCAAAGGCCTACCGAAAGGAACATGTGTTCCCATCAAGTAGCCATGCACTGCCGGAATCTAGTACACCCCACCTTGCTTATACAACTCCCAGTAAAGAGACACTCTGGTGGTGCGGTGCATTAGGTGTTGCACTGCTATTCTATGGTCAGTGATTCAAAGCCTCCAGCCGCTTTGAGGGGAAAGGATTGGTAATCTCTTCCCATAAAGATTTACAGCCTATGACACCCAGCAGAGCATCACAAGGAGTCAGGATAAGCTTATAGCAGCCGCTTTTGTTGTTGTTTTAGCTTAGCACAGGGTAGAGATATAAGACCTGGGACAGAACCAAGGATGGGGCAGGTCATTTATACCACAGGAACGGCATCAGCCCTTTTAGGCAGCCAGGAGTCCCACACGCTAGTCACATTCATTAACTTTCCAGTAAGTACTTCCCATTCCTATTTCTTTTTTAAGACATAGAAAGAAAATCAGATTTTTCTGCTATGTTAAATATTTCCCACTATACAAATATTAATCCCATTTTTCATCCCTTTTTCTTCCTTTTATCATATCCACCTTAAATGATGTCCAAATTACACACATAGTTTCTATATTAATATAAGCATGTGCAAATAAAAGCTCATATTTTACATAAACTAGCCTCTAACAAGCTAGTAATATTGTTTACATTTTCTGGTAGAAGGCTCACTGGTATCAGAAGTGTGCTGTGTTCCCACCCAACATGACAAAGCACAAGGCTGTGAACTTGACTGAACAAGTCATGAATCAATCAATGAATTTAAAAAGATTGGACTGACTCTCTTCATCACAGACTTGACTGGCCAAGCCAATCACTACAGTGAGAAAGGTTCCCAAGGGGCAGACTCAGCCAACCAGGTCTGCTGGTCCCAGCCCACTCCCCACAGACCCCCTGGGGCACCCATTAAGCAGCCAGCCACCAGCCTCACTTACTTGCATAGGCAGGTTATTCGCCATGGTGAAGCTGGGCATGGGCGGCAGCGCACTGTATGTGTTTGTGAGGGCTGTGTCTGTCCGACCCAACATAGAGCCAGATGTGAAGGAGGAAACTGCAGAGAGAGACAGAGATAGGTGAGCAGTCACCGTGAATGTCAGGGTCAGGTCCAAATGCAGTTTGTAGGTCTCACCAGATTTCAAATTACCAGGGGTGGTGGGTTGTGGGATTGGCTGGTAGACACTGGTACTGAAACTACTGCTGATAGGAATATGACTAGGTGTGTTGCTGGCCTGTCTTCTCTGGTTCCTCAGCTTTTCTTCTCTTCTCCATTTGGCCCTTCGGTTAGAAAACCATACCTGGAATTCAGATGGAGCAGGTTAGCAGGTATCTGTGTGCCTACAGCCACCCCACCCCTACCCTTGGCACTGCCACTGTCTGTCCCCTTACTATGCAGCAAAATATCTAGAAAATGGATCAATTTATCTAAATAAATGGTGCTTCTTAGAGGCACCTTTATCTCTACAAAAGACAAATGATGTGAATCACAAAGTTTGGCAACAAGAAGGTCTCAGTACCTGTATTCTTGCTTCAGGTAGATCTATTTTAGCCGCTAGTCTTTCTCGGGCAAACACATCTGGATAGTGAGTTCTCTCAAACTCTGAAAGAGTAAAATGGGTTGGTTTGTTTTTTAATGTTGTGCCAGGACTACACAAAAGAAGTTGACGAGCTTGGATGAAGCTGGTCCCCTGACTCCCATTTCATCATCTCAAATCAGTTCCCTTGGAAGTGCTACTACTACAAGTATTGCCTGTACTTGGAAGAACTCTTTTACTAGAACCAAGTTTCATTTTCCTTGGAATGACATTCAAGGACCCTCCTGTGGCCTAAATTAGCCAACTCTTTCTTCTTCTTCTTCTTCTCCTTCTCCTTCTTCTCCTCCTCCTCCTCTTCTTCCATCTCTTCCTTCTCCTTGACGTTAGACCTCAATTACCTAGACTCTCAATTACTAGTTTATCAAAAAGAAATAACCATGCATACTAAAAAAGATTGGGGGAGGAGGGAGCAAACAAGGAAGAAAGAAAGAAAAAGAAACCTTTCAGTCCTCTCTGAAAAAGGCCCTGGCTAAATTTAGCTCTTTGTACTGGAGAGGTGGCATTTGCTTTCATTTACTACCTCTGTAGTTTGAAAAACTCCATCACCTTTCTCCAGGGCCTCAATTTGCTCTTGGGTAAAGGATGTTCTATTTCTTTGCAGCTTCCGCTTCAGCTGGAGTCGCATTTGGGCCTCATCTGAATCTTCTCCATTGGAACTGATGGAGTTGGTATTCTCTCCTCCTCCTTCCTGTTGCTGGCAGCCATCTGAAACAAAAAGAATAGGATGATAAGGGAGCTTTAGAATAACTAGAGCCTGGAATTTAAAAAAGGCCTGAAACATCATAAACAAACTCCAAGAGCATCTGAAAAAAATCTTCCCAAGGGTGACTGTTTGGTCTTCTTTTGACAGAAGACATTAAACACTACCTGGCCACCATTTCCTTTCTCTATTTCTAGCAAGATAAACCGACAAAATACACACTAAATGACAAGTCTTTGAGCACTAAAACAAGCACTGAAATTCCCAATTAAACATGATCTTTCATAACTAACATAACTAACATAAAGCCTCCCTCATCCAGTTCCCTTTCCCAGAAGAATTTATTTACCTATGTCTGTGTTGGAAAAATAAAAGAGTGATGTTCAAGATTTCAGCTGATCTATAATCAGTAATTCCTATCTAATCAATTAAATGTTGATAGGTTTGTAGAAAATGCTATTAAGAAACCAAACCAAGCTTGTAATCTTTTTTAAAAAATATTTATCTAGTTTTTATTTGAATTCTGCACAGTCAATTTCATTTTAAAGGTTGTGAATTTAGAAGTGCTCGCATTGTTCTGCAGTTTTATTCAACTATTGTATGAGTGTGCTTTGCCTTGACACCTATTACGAGCACAGCTGTAATTATATCATCACCAAGAACAGGCTATAATTGCTGAAAATGGAATTTTATATTTAGATAAAAGGACTGTCCATTCTTTGTAATGTGTTGCACTAGAGAAAAGTAAGATTTCTTTTAAATTTTTAACGTGTAATTTTAAAAAAGAAATAGTAGAGAGTTCACTAACTAGCTAAATGTGCTATGCTGCAGCTGAGTCCTTGGCATATCATTTAAGCGGTACATTTTTAATTAGGGCATTTCCACCACTTTTAATGTAATTTCTATCATTAAACAGGGGAAAGTTTTATTGTTTTGCCTTGGCGCTTGGAGGGCGAGATGTGCACTTGGGCTAGCTGTCTCTCCTGCCTTGCCTGGAGGCCACAGCCTGCCTGACGGGAAGGAATCTGCCTCCAAGACCACAGCAGACCAGGTCCAGGGGCTTGGGTCCTGAGGCCTCCCAGAGATTCTCACAGGGGTGCATCCCCCCTCGTGTTGGCAAGCTGGTCAGTGGGGGTGGGGGAGCGAGGGGCCACTGGGGGCCATTGGTGGGAATCGACTTGGCCAGGAATATCATTTATAACCCAGGGACAATAGACAGTGCCTTCAAAGAGTTCAGGGAATTGTGACAGGATCTAGTGGGATCCTTTCAGGAACTTTGAAATGTTTTAAAACCCCAACTTTCTCCCCCATTTAAACAGGCGGATTCATCGGCACTGGCCACCATATGGGCCCTTGGAGATCTATTGAGATGACCACCAACACTTGAATAGCGAGGGGCTGCTTTTCAGAGCCGCACAATGCCCCGCGAGTAAGGGAAACTATTAAACTCCTGGGGCAGGAGCGTTGGCAAACTTTCGTGGGCAGAATTTTGAGACCACAATGAGCGCGGACAACAAAAGGATTCTCTTGAGGCGTGCAGCGGGCCACATTGTGTTACAAGAAGCCCAGTCAACAGACTTTTCAGTGAAGTGTGTTAACCCCTCTGCTCTGCTATCATTAATCACTGTCCGCAGAGCGGGCGCCTCAATGCTATTTAGGGCGCTTGGTTGGGGGGGATTGGGGTGGATGGGGGCGGGGAGGCGGGAGGGGAGACTGGGAGGGAGGATGGAGGCCAGAGCTGGAGATTGGGGGGGATGCAAGGAGAAAGGATAGGGGGCCAGGAAGAGGAGGTGGAGAAAGGGGGCTCAGGAGGTATAAAAAGGAAAGACAGGAAAGAATACAGAGAGGAAAAAGAGACTAGAAGGGTCAGGGGAGTGGGGGGAGAGGAGAAAGGGGAGGGAGAGAGTCTGCTCGCTAGCGGGGGGGCTGCTTGCGCCACGCCACCGAGGAGGGAGGCGACCTGGCTGCAGGCGCCCGGCTCAGCTCACGTGCGGGACCCCGTGTCTATGTCAATGCAGGGCCCACTATTCCGGGGACTTCTCCAAGAGTCCTCTGGGGAAGAACTCTAGAGCCCTCCTCGGTTATTTTAGAGCTCCGTAATAAAATCTTGGAACTAGGGTCTCTGACACCTTTGGTCACCTAGAAAGATATGTTAGTTCCAGAAAGCACACAAAACAAGACCTGCGCCCATGGCCATGAAGCGTTTAGAGAAATGGAATCCCTCTTCCTCCCCTAAGGTGGTCACTCTGTTCCTTGCTGGCCCGAAGGCTCCATCTCAGCCCACTTCTGGCACATTCGATCTTGCCAACGAAACAAAGCTGCCCGGATTCCCCTCTGAAGGCCCTGCTGGCGGAACACTGCCTGTTTTCTGACCCTGTCATCATTTTACAACACGAAGACAGACTGGGCACAGGGACACACACACACACACACACACACACACACACACCCTTACTGGCTGCAGAATTGACGCCAGTGGAGAGCGAAGTCAAGGAGGAGGGGGAGGGGCTAGCTTATTTTTTTAAAACACTTTTTTTAAAAAAGGTGGAATTAGAGGCCAGTAAAGAGAAAAGTCCTGGCTGCACGAGCCCTCCACTCCATGACTCCACGATCCCACAGAGCGCTCAGGCACCGTTAGAAGTTTGTTTGCTGTTTCAAAAAGTAGCAACTCTTTGCAGCCCGAGAGGTCACGCTTAGAATGCGCGCCTACTTTCTAGCGGGTTTACCTTCCCCCTTTGGGCTTTTAACCCGAAGTAAAACCAGAAGTTGGATCTCAGATTCCCCACATGATAAACCTAAGTGGCAGAGAATTAAGATATCTTCTTTAAAAGGCGCCCCCTCGGAGCCCAGCAAAGACGGGGCCTTCAATGGGCACCGTCCACCTTCCAGCCTAATCCGTGAGAAGGCCAGTGAAAGCGCCCCGCATTATCCCTGCCCCGGGACCATCTGACGCTGGGGGTAGGATTTGTTTCCTGGAAGAAGAAGGAGAAGGGGGGGCGGGGAAGACGCTGGGAAATAAAATCATTCCTTAGTTTCTTAGTGTCTTAACCAGTGAGGCGGAAAACAAGCAAGAAAAGATAGCAACCCGGTTGCGGCACCTTTTCAGCTCGGGAACTCGGATCAAAACATTGTAGCATCTGTTGAAAGAGAGACTGACTAAATCCTATAGAGGGCCTGGGTATTACGGGG